CCAAGGCAGGAGTATCGAATGAGGCCAGGAATTCGAGACCAACCTGGGCAACATAGTAAGACCCCATCTCTACAAAAAATTTTTTTTAAAAAAACTAACCAGGCATGGAGGCACCCCACCCCCTGTAGTCCTAGCTACTAAAGAGTCTGAGGCAGGAGGATCACTTAAGCCTAGGATTTTGAGATTACAGTGAGCTGTGGTCAGGCCATTACACTGCAGCATGGGCAACACAGTAAGGCCTTGTCTCTAAAAAAAGAGATAGTTTATTATTTTTTGAATATTCCATTGAATTGTTATATAATTGCTTAGTTACTACCTTTAGTTTTTTCTAGCCTCTTCCCAAGAATATTTGAAACAGAGAGTGAACAGTTTACATGTCATTAAGATGAGAAGCTGGTTTGGTCTCAACGTTTCAAAAATGTGACTATGACCAGATTCACTTATCTGTATGATATTTTCAATAATTTAATGACCATAATAATTCCATGCAAAGAAAAACTGCAACATGACAAGCATTAGAAGCATAGAAAGAGAGAGTTTACAGGTAGTGATGGTGTATAGCTTAATTTAACAACTAGCAAGGAAACGGGTGATGATTTTGATATTACCCATCTGGAAAAAGTTATTACCAATTACCTTATGAATTTTATATTCCATCAAAAGAAGATCCTAAAATTGCAATTTAGTCTTTCCATAATCCACTTTTCCAAACAGAAAATAGCTAACCATGAAAAGACATGAAAAGCTCTTTATAAGATATTAAGCTATTAACAAAAAGCAGATTATAAAATGTGTCTACATTATGATTCCAACTTGGTGATTTTACAAAATCATATATGTCTCTATGTAAAACATGCTATATTTCTATCTATCTGCATTTACATTCAAAAGTTTATAGATCCGAATGAAAATACTATCATTAATTATGTCTGGGTGGTGGGATTATGAGTGCTTTTTTCCTCTTTTATTATCTGTATTTTCCAATTTTGTTTGTTTAATTTAAAAGGCATTAAAATGTGGTATGATATTGCAATAGTGAGTATCAGAAAGCTAGAGAAATAAACACTGACATGTTTGCGGGTATCAGAATAGGCTTCCCAACACAAATGAGAGGAAGACGTGAAAGCACAGAATATTGCAAAATTTACAAATGAGCCTATGTATTCAGCTGGGGTAAAGAGTGTCAATAATAAAGGGACTTTGGAATTACATAAATATAGGAGACAGTTTGGTTTGAAACAAGGAAGTAAAAGGTATCTATAAAATCCAGATAAACATCTGAGACTGGCACAGAGCTTGGAGCAGAGAAAGAGAAAACACGGAGGTGCCCAAGGAACGGAGTAAGTCCACTGAAACACCCTGCCTATGTCTTCACTAAAATCAATGGGCGCAGAGTGGGGCTGGCTGATCTGCCTATGCAGGTTCTCTGCTGCATCCGCTAGGCTGGAGAGATGCAGCCAATTCTCGTGTCTATGTTGGGGCCAGTAGATAAACAAGAGAAAATGAAACCACGAGAGGAATGAAACAGGAAAGAAATAAAATAGGAAAGGAATGAAAAAGTCAGTCAGTTGCTATAAGAGAGGTAAAATGGACTTCAAGAAAGGAATATCATTTGTTATTTGGAGACTTTTTGATAAAGGCCATTCTCACTGGAGTTAAGTGATATCTCATTGTAATTTTGATTTGCATTTCCCTGATGATTAGGGATGTTGAGCATTTTTTCATATGTTTGTTGGCCATTCTTCTGTCTTCTTTAGAAAAGTTTCTGTTCAAGTCCTTTGCCCACTTTTTAATAGGGTTATTTGATTTTTTCTTGCTGATTTTCGTGAGTTCTAAGTATATTCTAGTTATCAGCCCTTTATCGGATACGTAGGATGCAAA